AAAGTGGTTGTAGCAATTTATTCTCCCATCAGTGGTGTATGAGGGGCAGGTTGTTTCCAACCCTTAAGCTGAGCACTGTTGATGTTCTGGGGGAACCTGCCAGGAGACAGATATTAATACTGGCGATTAGAGATATGGATTAATTGTGCCCCGGTGTAAATTCTTACAGCTAGAATAAGCTCTGGGCAGAGGTAGTCTTTCTCATTCCCTGGACAGGCACGTGCTGTGCTGATGCTGTCTTGGCTCCTGAAGTCCTCATCTAGGACTACACAGTTTGGAGAGTGGCAGAGTTCAAAGGCCTGGGAGAGGAGAAAGAAGGATCTGGAGGTTGCCCCCAGCTGGAAACTGCTCATGATGAGTGGTTAGGTGAACGGGAATCAGATTGATTCATATGCTCTGAAACTATAAAAAGCTTCCTAGATTACTTCCCAAGGGATGTTTACATTAAACAAAGCATAATGCCACAACTAGAGGCCTAGAGGCATCTGCAGCAGGCTGGTGGGCAGACTTTTCTGCTAGGAGGACCTCCAGATGCCCCTATAATTGTACCAGAGGTCCTTAGAAAGGCCAGCCTTGCCTGCAGTTATCCTCATTGTCTCTTCTTGTAGGAGAGGATAAAACATATTTCTGTGGAAACCAAGTACTGAAGGTGAGAAATACATCAAGTTCAGAATAGGTCAATATTTGTCTGGTAAGACACATAGCTGTAGCATATTCTGGACATTTTAACACATTTTCAGGAATCATTCTTAGAATAATAGAGCTTTCTTTCTTTTCTCTTCTCTCCTTTTTTTTTTTTTTTTGCCATAGGGTGCATGTGCTCGACAGAAAGAGAGAGAGAGAAAGAAGTCACCCTCTGGGGTGGATGGCCATGCTGCAATCCCTTCTCCATTCTCCTCTCGGGATCTTGGGCATGCACGTACACGCGCCCAACGTGAGTTTAAGCCACCGGGTCCAGAACTTGAACTGCGGTTGACTACGTGGGAGTCCAACGACATAGCATTACACCAACTGCTGGTCCCAATATAGAGAGCTTTCTAAGTACTAGGGGAAAAAAATCTTGGTCTTATCAAAAATATTTCCAATTATCCCTGACCAACCTCTAAATTTAGGTCACATCAATTATCCTAGTATATCTGTTTATGGTTTGGATATAGCTATTTTAAAAACTTTGTTGGGACCAGCAGATAGTATGATGGTTACATTGCTGGACTCACACATTGTTGATTGAGGTTCGAGTCCCGGACCCGGTTGGTTGAAACACATGCCAGGCACATGGGTGTGCCTGCCCTAAATCCCAAGAGGAGAAAAGGGACTGCAGGGCCCAGCAGTTAGTGTAATGGCTATGTCGCTGGACTCCCATGTAGTTGACTGTGGTTCGAGTCCCGGACCCGGTGGCTTAAAACTCATGCCAGGGGGCCAGCAGGTGGCATGGTGGTTAGGGGCACTGGACTCCCACATGGTCAATCATGGTTTGAGTCCCGGACCTGGTGGCTTGCTTTCTCACTTTCTCTCTCTCTTGCTCTGTCCCTCTCTGGTCAAAAGGAAATAAAATAAAATAAAGTTAAATAAGATAATTAAAAAAAACAAAACAAAACAAAACTCATGCCGGGCGCATGTGTGTGCGTGCCCAAGATCCCAAGTGGAAAATGGAGGAGAAGGGATTGCGGAGTCGCCATACCCCCGGGGGGTGATTTCTCGCTTTCCGTCTCTCTGTCTCTCTCTCTCTGTCTCTCTTTCTCTCTCTCTGGCGAGCGCATGCACCCTATAACAAAAACCTCTCTTAAAGAAAAAAAAAGGGGATTGCAGTATAGCCATTTTTGGGGGGGTGTGATTTCTTGCTTTATGTCTCTCTGTCTCTGTTTCTCTGCAAGTGCTCACACTCTAGAGCAAAAAAAAATAAAAAACCTCTAGGGACAAGCAGGTAGCATAATGGCTATGTTGCTGGACTCCCATGTGGTCGACCGCGGTTTGAGTACCAGACCCGGTGGCTTAAACTCACGCTGGGCCCGTGTGCATGCATACCCAAGATCCCAAGAGGAGAATGGAGGAGAAGGGACTGCGGCGTGGCCATCCCCCCTGGGGGGTGATTTCTCACTTTCTGTCTCTCTGTCTGTCTCTGTCTTTCCGGCGAGCGCACACGCCCTATGGCAAAAAAACCTCTCCAAAAAAAGAAGAAAAAACCTCTAAAAATAGAATAAAATAAATTTGTTTGTATTCTTTTAAAAATTTGTTTTATTTGTTTATATTTTTCCTATAAGTCTCTGTCACTAGACTGCATCCCTCCCCCCCCAGGATAATCACCAAGATTTCTCTTTTCCTTGGGGACAGCAGAATTGGGACTTAAATGCTGAGTTGATACAATGCTGGCCATATCACTGTAAATCACAATGAAGCTTCTCACACAAGTTGGAAAGATGACGGCCTCAGTAATGTATGTGCCAAGGAGAGGGAAGGGAGCAAGTTAGGGCAGAGTAGCCAGGTTATAGTTAATTCAGAAGAATCATCTAGAGCTTTCCAGGATTTTAGGAGAACCCAGAGTCTTTCTTAATCCTGAAACTCTAAGAAATGGAAAACAGATCAATATGGCAAACTTTTTTTATGAGGAAGATGGCATTTCCTTATTTTAGAAATGCTGAAATAGAGACTCAGAGAGGTTAAATAACTTACTCAAGGTCACACAGAACTATGATCAGACTATTCTGAAGTTTATGTTTTCCCCTGCCAGTCCCTAAGATCAGCAGATTTATTAATATTTACCAAATAGTCCCTTTGCGCCAGTCACTGGGTACTGCATAGTGGACAAAGCAGAGGTTTCCTGCCCCGCATAGCGTTTACAGAGGTAGGTGGGGGGAAGAGGCCTAATTCATCCTAATCTACTCCGCAGGCTTGAGCTCTCCACATCTCACACGGGGTGAGTCATTCACATGGCACCCCCCCCCAACCATCGTAACTGAAAAGGGCTTTTGGCAGGGTCAAGGTAAAGAGGGCTAGGAGACGGAAGGGCTCTTTTCTCTTTCTGACGTGGGGGGCTTCCCTCGAAAAGGAGAAAAATCCATTAAAAACCATTCTCAAAAAACCCCTTGGTCCCTGGGTAAGGAAGTGGGCGTGGAGGGAAAAAACAGTGAGGTGTGCGGGGAACCCTCCAGCAACCACGACTCAGTTGCCAGAGGGACCGGGAGGAGGGTGTGGGACAAAGGGGAGCTAAGATCCCCATATCCCCTGCCTACCACCACAGGAGACCCCGCAGGTGCAGGTGCCGCCCCCTCCCCGGGCACCTCGGGTTCTCCAGAAATCGCGCCACCCCTCCCCCGACCTCCCAGCGCTGCTGCCGTCACAG